TCAGAGTCACATCTGTTCTCCCTAAGGCTTGTGGCGTAATGATTACCAATGGGCCTGGGGGAGAGGATAGGGGGTGTGAAAACTCCAGGAGAAAAGCCATTTGCACTGGAAATGTGAGACTGTGTCATCATTTCCACAGCAGCCATCATGCAGGAGGAGGCAGGAAGTCACCCAGCATATTTGCAAGAACAGAACAGCTGTTGATGCTGTAATAAGATGTGCCCCAGGCTTTCTTTGCTAAGACACCAACCAGGTCTCACTGCCCCACCACTCCCTTCTAAGCCCAAAGAAGGGAGAACAAAGCCACAGACGTCAGGGGTACTGCAGTCGCCTGTGCATGGTCAAAACACACAGAGGGCGTGCCAGCTCGGACGATGGAAGCCTGGCTGGAAATGGGCACTGACAGAGGATGTATCTCCAAATCATGAGACCAGTTGGACCTTGCACTCTGGCCCAGACCTGGTGAATAACAACTTCCATTACAGTGAAATGAAATTTTCATCTGTGCATTTTTGAAACTTGCTTTGAAAACCTCCAAGGGCCCGCCAGAGGGAAAAAGACAAGATTTATTTGGATCTTTGGATCCAAGCCACAGCCCCATGGTAAAAGCAGCCACGGAGGGAGGGAGTGGAGCTGGCAACACCCTAAAGGCACAGCTGAGGGTGTACTTAGGGCGGTGGGACCACGGCCATCCCTGGTCCATCTGTCCAGTTCTGCTGGACCAGGACAGGGAGCCTCAGGGGCCCGATCAATCCTGAAACCACTCCTGCCCTGCCAAGCAGCTGGAGAGATCCTTTAAAAAAATGCAAATCTGCTCAGATCTCTGTACTGCCTCAGGGCTTGTGGACCCTCTTAAAATAAAGCCCTAGGAGCCAATGGCCCAATGGCCCAAGCTGGAACAATCTGAGCAACCAAATAAATAAAGAAGAACTGTATTATAACCCAGGGTATAAAACAAATATCCATGAGTCCATATTGACATCAATAAATGATTGAATTAACCAATAAGTGGGGGAGAAGCAGCAAACATCCCGTACAGAAGAATTCCACATTTATGCAGATACTCCCCCCTAAAAGAGAGGGTGCAGCTCCCCAATCCTTACGTGTGCCCATAGTGACTTCCTTCCAAAGAGGACAGTATGGAAAAGCGGAAGAAAGAGGAACCTGACGAACAATCCAGGTCAACGTGAACAGTCATAGGAAGTACCTGGACAAGATGTGATGAAAACGGCACTTGACCTCTGTGACCTTCCTCCCCAAACCCATAACTCAACTCTGATCAGGAGGAACAGCAGACAAATTCCAACAAAGGGACATTCTACACAACACCTGACCAGTCCTCCTCCGAACTGTCAAGTTCATCAAGAACAAGAAAGTTTGAGAAACTCTCACAGCCAAGAGGAGCCCAAGGAGATATAATGACTAAATACCATGTCGTATCTTGGACGGGGTCGTGGAACAGAAAAAGGACATTAGGGAAACAATAAGGAAATCTGAATAAACTAAGGACTTCAGTTAATAATAAGGTGTCAATACTGGTTCTTTAATTGTACCAAATGAACCACACTATTGTTACGGTGTTAGGGGAAAACGTATGCTTGGGTAAATGGGAACTCCATGTGCTATCGTCTCAATTTTTTGATAAATCTGAAACTATTCTTAAAAGAAATCTATAAAGTGCAAAAAATTCTACCAAGGAAAAAATATAAAGCTTCCAATCCTTAACACGAGCCACAGTGGGCCAACCCCACCGCCCCCACCCCACCGCCTGCTCTCCCCCCCTTCCCTCCTCTGCAGGCTCCAGCCGGCCTCGAGGAGACTGCCTCAGTCTTGCTCCCTTCTCTTTCCTCGGGGTTCCTGCAGATGCTGTTCCTTCCCCTGCCCGTGTGTAGTTAAGTCCACTCAGCCTTCAGCTCTCAGCTGAGAAGTCACTTCCACTGGGAAGCCCTCCCCAGCCACCCAAGCTGACAGAGGTTCCAGGTTCCTCCCACTCCCGCACTGCTCCCCTCTTCCGTCCCACTCGTGACTGCTTGCTCCAGGTCTGTGTCCTCCAGTGGCTGTAAGAGCCACGGGAGTGATGCCCGTCTATGGCACAGTGTCTGGCCCAGAAAACCCCAAGTTCATGCGGCTGAATGCTCAGATGCGTAAATGAATGCAATTCAGAAGCCACCCAAGCAGAGCTGGTCCCAGGGAGTAAACCCCAAGGGTATGGTGACCCAGAAGCACTCTGTGTGAGAGGTTTAAAGTGTAGAACCCTGGTGACCTCAGGGAAGGGGGCCCTGAGCAAATGGGTACCACTCGTCTCTGCTGGTGCCGGAGTGCACCAGGGAAGCCCTCTGACCCCTAGATGTCTGCATCAGAGAAAGGTCAAGACAGCAAGGTTTGGGTTTTGGATTTTTGTTTTTTGTTTTCTGTTTTTGTAATTTCATCAACAATCTACTCTAGCCCTTGCATAAGTTTGGTTCTTTTTCTTTCCTTTTCTTTTTTAAAAACTGAGACATAACTTATAGACAGTGAAATTCATCCTTTTTAGCTATAGAGTTCCAAGAATTTTGACACATACAGTCACGTAACCACCACAGCCATCAAGACATGGAACATTTCTATCCGCCCCCACAAAAAGATCCCCCATGGCCTTTTGTAGCCAATTCCCTGGTTTCCTTCCCTTTTTTCCAGAATATCATATAAATAGAATCACAAATCACGTAGCCTTTTGAGTCTAAACTTTTTCACTTAGCATAACGCATTTAAGATTCATTTATTTTATTGCATGAATCAATAGTTTATTCCTTTTTCTTGCTGAACAGCAGCCTATAGGATGGATACCACAAATTATTTATTCATTCACCAACTGATGGACATTTTGGGTGTTTCAATTTTGGGGTGATTATGAATAAAGCTGGTGTAAACATGCGAGTTTTCAGGTAGATACATATTTTTATGTTTCATGGACAAATACCTGAAGGTGGCTTTTCTAGATCAGAGGGTAGACATATAAGAAGCTGAAGGGCAGAATATTTAAGAAGGGTAATTTTCTTTCTTTTTTCAGCACATTTTTATGAAGCACCTATGTCCAACGTAAACCAAGGGTGTCTCCCCAAACACCTATGAATGAATGAATGCTCCTGTTCCCCAGATGCTCATGCGATCTCACCACCAGAAACAGGTCTTGCATCCATTTCCACCCTCAGCGCGAGGCCAGAAGTGGCAGTAGAAAAGGCACTGCACTGGAACCAAGAGGGGTGGGATGAAGGTTCCTGCTTTGCCACGAGGAGCTGAGGGACTGCAGATAAATTACCCCGCCCACCCTTCTGGGACTCAGGACCAACAGAGTGGCAGGCAGAGATTATGGGCAGGACAGAGTGCTGTCCTGATAAGAGGGGTTCAGGTCCAGCCCCATCCCCACCTCCTCATCACTGTGGGGCCTACAACCACATCTGCATGCGATGAGCTTCCTCTCCCCCGAATCCTTCTATTGCTTCTGGATGCAGGTTTGGCAGGTGACATCTACCCTGTGGCCACCCCTTGTCATCTCACTCTCTCTCACAGCTTAGCTTTTGGCCCCTCTGTGCCTCCCCACTAGCAGGACTCCCTGAGGCCACAGGTTTTCCCTTCTCAACACACCCAGGTGTATTTACCCCTCCGTAAGAAAAGAGTGTCCAAGAATGCGCTTTAGAGGACTTTATGGTTAAGCAGTTTATAATCAGAACCAACTGTTTGCATAGAAAGAGGAGTTCTGAAGACTTGCTGTGATGGTTAATTTTATGTGTTGACTTGGCTCAGCCATTTACTCAGATATTTGGTCAAACACCAGTGCAGATGTCACTATGAAGGTATTTTTTTAGATCAATGTAACATTTAAATCAGTAAACTGTGAGTAAAGCAGATGACCCCCCATAATGTGGGTGGGCCTCATCCAATCAGTTGATGGTCTTAAGAGAGAAAGACTGACGTCCCCCAAGGAAGAGGGAGTTCTGCCAGTAGACGGCCTTTGGACTCAAGCTACAACATAAATTCTTCCAGTTTCCTGGCCTGCTCTGCAAATTTTGAATTTGCCAGTCCCCACATCTGCATGAGCAGTTTCATAAAATAAATTTTTCTCTAAACAGGCAGACCTCAGAGGTATTACAGGTCTGGTTCCAGACCACCACAATAAAGCAAATATTACAATAAAGTGAGTCATGTGAATTTTTTGGTTTCCCAATGCATGTAAAAGTTATTTATACATTATACTATAGTCTATTAAGGGTGCATTATGTCCAAAAAAAATTTTTTTAACATACCTTAATTAAAAATACTTTATTGCTAAAAAATGCTAAGCATCATCTGAGCTTCCATAATCTTTGTGCAACAGTAACATCCAAGATCACTGATCACAAATCATAACAAATCCAATAATGAGAAAGTTTGAAATATTGTGAGAATCATCAGAATGTGACACAGAGACATGAAGTGACTAATGCTGTTGGAAAAATGGCACCAATAGACTTGCTCAGGGGGGAGGGGGTACAGCTCAGTGGTAGAGTATGTGCTTAGCATGCAAGAGGTCCTAGGTTCAATCCTCAGTACCTCCATTTAAAAAAAAAAAAAAATAAACTTAATTACCAATCCTCCTCTCCCCGCGAAAAAAGACTTGCTCAATGCAAGCCTTGAATTTGTAAAAAAAAAAATGTAATATCCATGAAGTGCAATAAAATGAGTTATGCCTATATACGTGTGTGTGTGTGTATATCTTATTGGTTCTGTTTCTCTGGAGAACGCTGACTAATGCACTAACACTCACACAGGGTGTCCCCACTGTTACATGGATTGCTGGCTAGCAAGGGGAAACTTCAGGTCAACTACAGCCCAAATCATCATCCACGGCATCACAGGTCCAAACTGTCAGTGCCTTCTGGGCGCCATTCTAAATGCATTTCCCCTGAGGCACACGGGGCAGAGACTACCAGGCCCCACCTCTCCAGGGGCAGTGGCTGTGGAGGAAGAGCTTTGTACTGTACCTGCTCACATCCTTGGCCAGACCTTGGCAGGAGGGAGTGGAAGCTTCTACTCCATCACCAGCTGGGGCGGAAGGCCAAGATGCATGTTCCGAGGCCGGGGGAGTGAGATCCACATGGCCAGCAGCTGAAGACGTGCTGGGGACACAAAGGGAGAATTATTCCCAGTGGAACTGGCTGGTTAATGGGACATTCATCAGCCCCCTGCCCCTCCCAACACACACACACACACACACACACACACACACACACACACACAGAGTGGGGTATTTAAAGACCCAGCTCACTCCTGCCTGGGGCTCCCCTCTGGGTTGCCCAGGCGTCTGCTTAGACACAGAGGGGGTGCCCCTCCCACCCAGCAGCCCCCAGGCCAGGCCGTGAATTCCTCGCTCCTCTGGCTGAAGTGGGACCTGGGCTTTGACCGCGGCGGTTTGGGTGCTCAGAATATTCTGACTTGTTTTGTTTGAGTTTTGTTGGGGGAAGGGACTTTAATCATTTTTTTAATAGGCAGTGAAACTCTGTGAGCTAAAAAGTAAAATACAACTTTGCAAACTCCCTAGGATTTGTTCCCCCAAATCTAAGGCTGAGAAAAGTCAAGGTGAAGAGGCTGATGGGTAATCAAGGAACCTGCACCAGGCACCTACTGGGATCCCTCTTCCCCGCGAAGGATTTCTATGGCAGGCCATATCCCCGGTTCAGTGGGTGAGTGCCCCCTGCTGGACAGCCAGGGAAACGCTGGGAGTGCAGAGAGGAAGGGAGGCCCCTGGGGGAGGGACAGAAGGAAGGACAGCCACCTGCAAAAAAGTCAAAAGGCAAAATGCCTGGCGCTCAAAAGGGGTTTTAATTTTCCACTTTGGCAAAAGCAAAACTAGCATAGCCGTCCACAGACTTTCGGAGTGGGTTAGCTCTCCCAGTCCCTCCAGCTGTCCACACTGCCGTCCAGGGGGAGTAGGCAGGGCTGAGGGCGGCAGGGCCGGAATTATGTGACTCAGCACTGGGAGCCGGAAACCTGGCCGGAGGTCGAAGCCGGGTTTAGGAGTTTCACAGCTCAGTGGGGGGGCTTATTTCTTCCGTCTGGGAGTGAGCACCTGCAGGGAGCGCCCACACGGCAGGACTGCTGGACGCTTGGGTTTCCGTGTCAAGGGTGTTCAGCTAATCTCCGTCTCCTCCAATTGCACCTACAAGTTTGGCTTTCTGACCTGGAGGACAGCTCCCAAGGGCACCCCACACCCAACACAGTGAAAGAATTCTCAGTCTGGCCCCAAATCCCTGTCACAGAGCTTAGCAGGGCTTCCAGGGCAGGCTTCCGCCTCGCCCCGCACTCCCACCGCCCTCACCCTCACCTGCTCTGCTCTGACCAGCCGGCCTCCCTTGGCTCCCCCAGCACTGGCAGCCCATGCTGCCTCCAGGGCTGGCAGCCCCTCCCCTCACCAGGCCAGCCGCCCTCAGCCTCCAAGTCTTCCTTTGGTCTTCACTAATCGACAGCTACAAAAACAGCAGTAGCTCACCTCTGCCAGTGCCCAATCCTGGGTCGGTCTGTCCTAGGTGCCTGGTCCTGCCTGCCTGGCTCTGTGTTAAGTGTTCTACAAACGTGATCTCAGGTAACCATCATCACAACCCTTGAGTCAGATGTCATCATCTTCACTTTACAGAGATTAAAACTAAGGCTCAGAGTGGTGAGGTCACTTGCCCTGGGTACGGCAGTGAGTAGGTGGTGGAGCCAGAATGTGTACCAAGGCTCTGAATCCTTAACCACTTCTACGTCCACTTTCTGGTGGACTCCCTAGTACGCACCCGGAAGCCCCTCCACCCCTTCACGGTGACAGACATCACCAGGGACTTGAAGACCACTAGGCAGACCGAACTGTGGGCTCTGTGAGGACAGAGGCCGCATCTGTCAGATTCACCCCCGCATCCCAACATCTGGCCAGGCCACCCACGTGGGCACTCAAACAGGCAGAGGGAGAGCCGGGGTGCCCCGACTGGCTATGACCAAGATGGGCGTCCAGAGCAGAGGCAGAGCTGGAACCCACATGACCTTCTTTCCTGGGCCCCGCGGAAACAAGGAGCAAAACAGACCTGAGAGTAATGACCCGGGGTAAGCTCCGAGCAAGGCCAACCCACGCGTGAACAAAACTTCCGCTGAGTGCATGGACAGAGCCCACAAAGGTGCAAAGTGTGTTGCAAACGTCCCAACACCACAGTTGTTCAAACTGTTGTTTGTAACAACTTGGACAGTGGCTGAAATAATTTATTTTGTAAAGGGATGAGTCAAGTGAGTAATGCAAATGATTGGGGGCTTTTACGCTCCTTGAGGAAGCCATTTTCACACTCCAGAAACCTACATTTATTCACATTCATCAGCAGCGAACAGGCCACTTACAAACTCAAACTACTATGTAAAATTTACTTACTAAAGAAATTACCCTGGCCGCGCCCCTTCCTCTGCACACCCCCTAAAGATTTTATTTAATTTAATGCAGAGGAAAGGTGATACCGTTTGTGGTTCTGCTACTTTAAGGGTCCTCTATCAAAGTGCAAGGAAAGACTTCTGTCTTGAAAACCCTGGCAGAGGGGAGGGGAGGCGTGGCCTCGGATCTGTGGCCTCAGAACAAGCCCACCTCAGTGACAATCACACGGCACTGATGAGGATGCCCGAGGGTGCCCGCATCCCCCAGCCCCGGGAACACCCTGAGGTCCCTCAGCTCAACAGGCCCTTCAGCCTAGAGGCCCCGTGCCTGCTCCCTCATCCTCCATTCCGCTGGCGCCCAGAACCCCAGGGCCACACCCTTCCTGCACTGGCTGGCTCCCATCAGCCAAAGGCACCAAACAAATGACTCAACAGCTCTCTTAAGAATGGCGCTGCCCCTCCCTCCTGGCCTCCAGCCTGCCGTTGGCCCCACCCCAGTGGCCAGGAGGTCAGGCCCCAACAGGGAAAGGCTTGGTGACTCATAACCGAAGCTCTAACACACAGCCACCTACAGACATCTCCTGGCCCCAACAGAACTCCTCCTCCTCCCTCCTAACCCTCCTCCCCGCCCCGTTTCTCCCCAGCTTGTTTAGTGCCCACTCTCCAGGCGGCCAGGCCTGGACCAGAAGCTGAGAGTGTCCTGGACCCTCCTGGTTCTCTCACCCCATACCCCATCATCGCCCCTTCATGCTGAGTCACCTCCCTTCTCCTAGAATCTGTCCTCTCTGTCCTGCTGGTCCAGGCCTGCGGCCATTCTGAGCAGGGTTCCTGCACATCCTGTTTTTTGTATCGTCCCATTTGTCTCCACACATCCATCCCCTACAGATACCAGAAAGCCCCAACTCGAGTTCTGATCACATCCTTTCCTTGTCTAAAACCCTGCCCGACTTCCCCCATCTCATGCCTTCCAGAATGCAGGTGAAACTTGGCCTTGCAAGCCGAGGCTCCTACAGCCCATGTCTGCCGCCTCCTGGGTTTGTCCCCCCCGCTGCCCTGACCCCACAAAGCCAGTCTCCAGATGCTCCTGGAGTTTCTTGCCTCAACCAGATCGTGCCTCTGAATCCCCTACTTCTCTCAGACCCCCTCATAGCCTGCCCCAGAACCATCATGCGGTGTCACCCAAACAAGGAAGCCCCCCTGGCACGGGTAACGATGCCCACCCTGCACTGCCTGGCTGGGCTGGGCCTGACTTCTGTGTGTTCCACAGTTTTCTGCTAATGCATCCTTTTCTCCTCCTGGAATCTCAGCCACTGTGGTCTCTCCAGCCTCCAGCACAGAGCCTGGTGCATAACAAGTGCTCGACACGTGGCAGCTCCTTCCCTCCTGCCCCTGGAAGCACCCCCTGCCACCCAGGCAGGCCTCCGACAGCAGGACAACTGTCCTATCTGCTTGGAACCCCAGAATCCAACCACCTGAGGCGGGACCAGCCACACAAGCAGCAGGCAGGATCAAGTGCAGACAAAAGCAAAGTGAAAATGCAGGTTCCGAGTTCCAAAAGGGTGAGAATTTCAAGCTGGCGACAGCAGAGTGCTGAAATGCAGAGAGCCCTTCTGAGCACGGGGCCCCGGGCAAACTGCCCAGGTGACGCCACGAAGCCAGCCTTGAGATAGACTCCGCGGGGAGGGTCACCTAGGGTCCCTCTAAGACCCCCGGGGCTGTCAGAGGGCCACAGTGCTGGAGCCGAGACGACAAGCAGGGAACCGGGTCAGCTTCCCCTTCGCCAGCTCCTGTCCACGCAGGTCTCCCGTGAGCAGCAGTGACTCGCCTTAAAGATATTCTTCTCAGGGAGTCGGGCCCTTTCCAACAACGGCCAGTTACCACTCCCAGCCCTCAGCGGGAACTCCCGGGCAGCTGCCGAACCCAGCACAGAGGAGGGCAGAGCCCTAAGGTGGGGTCCACACCTGCGTTCTCGGCTGGCTTCTGCAGGTCACTTGCATTCTCTTGTCTCTGATCTCCTCCCCCGTAAAACGGGCCAGGAGTGGCTGTGAAGCCTTCCTAGTAAAAGGCCACCGTCCCTTTTCCCATTTAAGGAGTTAATCAATGTTTCACAAGCCTTACTGGAATAACAAAGACACTGAATTCAAATTCATGTAAAGTTTATATTTTTGGAAGATGAAGGAAATGTTGATTTAATTTACGCCTGTTATTGACAAAACGAGGGCACATAAACTTGCCATACTTCAAGCAGACAGAAACGGCACACTGATCCACGCATTCTTTCCTGCGAGGCCCAGCGGGACAAGACCTCTGAATCCTTCTCAGCACAGATCCCTAGGGAATCACTCATGGGTCAGAGTTTGCCATCCCTGATTCAGCACCTCACCAAGGTCCTCACTGACAACTGGTCCCGCTGACCATTTGGATGCGGTCTCCACCCACACAGAACCCGAGAGGCAGAGAATGTTGCTTCAGGGTTTGCTTTCAGCCCGACAGCCCTCCAAGCCCAGCTGTAGTGAGACGCCGTCACCAACTGTTGTCTTTTGATTCCCCGTTCAGGGCTTTTGAGTCCTTCTTGGCAGATCCCCAACTGAACTGATAGCAGGTTTCATTTCAGAGATCGGCTGGAGTTGCCAAATTAAGCCCCTGTCCACGGACAAACACCAGAGTGACCCGGGCTGTCCTGAGAGGGTGATAACAGCTCTCAAGATACGAGGTGAACCTATCACGT